TATCTTGTACGATATCCATGTTGAAGGAATGTCTCTGAGCGAGTCATTCCAAGTTGCGGCTGTGATTGAAAAGCTGCCGCCGAGTTGGAAAGACTTCAAGAACTACCTCAAACATAAGAGGAAGGAAATGAGTCTTGAAGACTTGGTTGTTCGTCTTCGTATTGAAGAAGACAACCGTAATTCATCGAGGAAAATTCCGATGATGGAGGCTCGTACCAACTTGCTGGAGCAAGGCAACTCGAGCAAGAGAAAGCCCCTTGAAAAAAGGAAGCAGCAAGGCAAGGTTTGGAAGTTTACCGGCACTTGCTACAACTGTGGAAAGCCCAACCATATGGCGAAAGACTGCAAGAGGCCAAAGAAGGCTGGGCCACAGAAAGGGCAACCGAGTGCCCTTGTTGCTGAACACGGCCTTGTGCCTGGTGAACTAACCGACTTTGATACGTCGGTTGTGATGTTTGAAGCCAATATGGTGGATAATCCAAGGGAGTGGTACATCGATACTGGTGCCACTCGTCATTTGTGTTCCGATAAGGAGTATTTCCTGAATACACTCATGCTAAGAGTCGGAAACTTTACATGGCAAACTCCTCCATGGCTGATGTGGCTGGTGTGGGAACTGTGGTTCTGAAGTTGACTTCTGGAAAGGAATTGAAGCTTAAAGATGTTCTGCATGTCCCAGACATCCGCAAGAATTCGGTCTCCGGATCTCTTCTTGTTGAGCATGGATTTAGGCTGGTATTTGATGCTAAGAAGTTTGTTCTTAGCAAGTTTGGAACTTTCCTTGGTCGTGGCTATCTCGAAAATGGTATGTTCAAAATGAATGTAATGGCCGTGAGCCGTGTAACCGTTTTAAATGATAATGAAAAGCCTATTTCTGTTTATACCGTTGAGTGCTCTGATTTATGGCATATTAGATTGGGACATGTAAATCTAAATGCAATTAAACGGTTAATGAATTTAGAATTAATTCCTAATTCTAAATTGAATCACTGAAGAAATGTGAAATTTGTATTGAAGCAAAAATGGCTAAGTTGCCTTTTCACTCGGTGGATAGGAATACTGAACCATTAGGCTTGATCCATACTGATGTATGTGATATGAAAAGTGTGCAAACAAGAACTGGTAAAAAGTATTTTATTACTTTTATTGATGATTGCGCAAAGTTTTGCTACTTATATTTGTTAAGAAGCAAAGACAAGGCTGTGGAAGAGTTTAAGATCTATAAGACCGAAGTTGAAAATCAACTCGGCAAAAAGATTAAAATAATTCGAAGTGATTGGGGTGGGGAGTATGTAGCTCCTTTTGAACAAATATGTTCTAAATATGGCATAATTCATCAAACAACGACCCCTTATTCTCCACAGTCGAACGGTGTTATTGAACGCAAGGACCGTACGTTAAAAGAAATGATGAATGTCATGTTGATAAATTCAGGATTACCCCAAAACATGTGGGGGGAAGTTGTTTTAACAGCAAATCATATTCTGAATAAAATACCACCTAAAGGGAAAAATGAGACTCCTTACGAAATGTGGAAATATCGTAAGCCGTCTTATAAATACCTGAAAGTGTGGGGGTGTTTGACTAAGGTTTCAGTTCCTGAACCCAAGCAAATGAGAATCGGGCTAAAGACGGTCGATTGTGTGTTTATTGGACATGCGTAGAATAGTACAGGATATAGATTTCTGGTTCATAAATTAGAAAATCCAGAGGTATCTGTTGGTACCATGATTGAGTCGAGTAATGCTATGTTCTTTGAGAATATATTTCCTCTGAAGGAAATGGCAGAATCTAGTTCTAATAAACGAACATATGAAACTGCTAGTGGTTCTGTACCAAAGGGTACTGATGAAGAATCGAGACGTAGTAAAAGAGTAAAAACGGCTAAAACGTTTGGACCTGATTTTATTACGTATATGTTGGACGATGAACCGAGTTCCCTTAAGGAAGCTCTGTCCAGCCTAGATGGACCACTCTGGGAAGAAGCTATAAACAGCGAAATCGAGTCCATTATGAAAAATCATACTTGAGAGTTGGTTGACCTACCTGAGGGTTGTAAACATTTAGGATGCAAGTGGATCCTAAAGAAGAAATATAAAGCTGATGGATCTATTGACAAGTTTAAAGCACGATTGGTGGTCAAAGGCTTTAAAAAAAATGAAGGGTATGATTTCTTTGATACATATTCACCAGTTACGGATTTAGCGTCGATAAGAGTGCTTCTCTCGATTGCTGCTTTGCACAATCTTGAGATTCACCAAATGGATGTCAAAACGGCATTTTTGAATGGTGAATTAGAAGAAGAAATGTACATGGAACAACCTGAAGGGTTTGTTGCACCTCGACAAGGGAGAAAGGTGTGTAGATTGATCAAATCTTTGTACGGTCTGAAACAAGCTCCGAAACAATGGCATTTGAAATTTGATGGCGTAATGTTGTCAAATGATTCAAAATCAACGAATGTGAAAAATGTGTTTATGTCAAGAGTACATCAAATACATTTGTGATTGTATGTCTATATGTAGACGATATGTTGATCATGGGGAGTAGCCATGATGTGATCATGGATACGAAAAGAATGTTGAAGAGAAATTACTACATGAAAGATATGGGTTTGGCTGATGTTGTTCTTGGAATAAGGATTATCAGAACCCAAGATGGAATTGTCTTGTCACAATCTCATTATGTAGAGAAAGTGCTCAAGAAATTTAATGCCTATGACGGTGCACAGTCTTGTTGTAAGACGCCCTTTGATCTTAGTATATATCTGGTGGCTAATAAAGGTCAACCAGTGGCTCAATTGGAATATTCACGGATAATAGGGAGTCTGATGTACTTGACAAATTGTACACGACCAGACTTGGCCTATCCGGTGAGTAAGTTGAGCAGATTTACAAGTAATCCCAGTCATAAGCACTGGAATGCTTTGAGAAGGGTACTTAAGTACTTAAGGTACACCCTTGAATACGGGCTAAAATACTCGAGATATCCAGCCGTACTTGAAGGGTACTGTGATGCAAGTTGGATATCAGATTCGAGAGATTCTCGCTCCACTAGTGGATATGTTTTCTGTATTGGAGGAGGTGCAGTTTTGTGGAAATCCACAAAACAAACATGTATAGCTCGGTCAATGATGGAATCGGAGTTCATCTCTTTAGATAAAGCTGGTCAAAAAGCCGAGTGGCTTAGAAATTTTTTATCCGATATTCCATGTTGGGATAAGATTTTGCCGCCTGTGATGATTCACTGTGATAGCCAAGCTGCTATAGGTAGGGCGCAAAGCAATTTGTATAACGGTAATTCTAGACATATTTCTCGCAGACATAATACCGTACGCCAATTGATCACAAATGGTGATATTTCCATTGACTATGTGAAGTCTAAGGAAAATTTGGCTGATCCTTTGACGAAAGGATTGAATAGAGATCAATTAGGAGTTTTGCTGGAAGAAATGGGATTAAAAATCCACAATGTAAAGAATGATCATAGTGGTAACCCTACCATGCTGAGTGGAGATCCCACGAACGTGGTTCAAAGGGAAAACTAAGCTATAAAAATTCAGTTGAGCACTTGGAACATATGAATGTCCAAAGTTATTCCCTATAGCACTCCAAGTGCAAGATTACCTGTTGATTGTGGTGAGGGTAAGTTATGTGGACTTTTAATGAATCCCTAACCTTGTAAAGGTGGAGTAATACAGGATACTCTTGATAGAGAGGTCACCTATATAAGTGTGAAGTGTGGGCCGCTTCAAATGTAAACACTTATGAATCCAAAGTGTTGTCCATGGCCAAAACGGACACAACGTTAGAACGAAATGGAGTTAAGACTCTATTGTGTAAATGTCATTGTCTTGGTGTACACTATGGAGGAATTGTTCAAGGCATTATGTCTACTAGGCCGCCAGTGCATCCGATGATGTTTACTAAGAAAGGTTCAAAGTGAAAAGCTACATTTTCTGATACAATAGAGTTTATTGAGGATTGAGCACAAGAGTATGCATACGTGCATAAATTTATTTCCACTCAGGTGGGGGATTGTTAATAATTGAGTGTAAACAAATTTCAAAGGGAACCCATAACTCATCCTTCTTGAATTGTGTGAAGGAATTTATCATCAGATTTGTCTATTTCCCACATGATTGTCCAATTAAAAAAAAAATATTTTGAGCGTTAGATAGTGTGCCAATTTGATGGCAATTTGTCTATTCCTCTACCAATGGCCTACTTTAATTTATCAGAATAATTATTTTGCTCCCTCATCTCTCAGTATAAATATGCGTGTTCTGTTGCTGAAAAAAATACACAAGACGAAAGAAATCAGACTGGGAAAGGAAAAATAGAGAGAAAATAAGATAAAAAATATTTGTTATCAAAATAACAAAAGAGAGATATTTTTATTCCTATTTTTTAAGTGCTCAATTCTCGATTCCGTTCCAGTTCGTCGGAGCTCGTAAATCTGGTGTTCTACAGATTTAGAGACATTTATCGTTGTATCTTTGGGGAAGTTACGCCTGAACCGTTAGCACCACACGGGACGTATTCTTCTTGCGGAAAGAGTTTTACTCGCCTCGGCTAAATTCTTTCTGTATTTTTTCTAGTTGTAATTTATTTTTCAGTTCAATTGTAATTTTATATTTTAGATCATTTGTAAGAATTGAAAATTACATATCAGTTCGTAGGATTCTTGTGTAATTTTTACACCTAATTTCTAACAGAAAAAAAAAAAAATTGCCATTAATTCCGGCGACTGCAAACCGCAATCGGCGTTCATCTCCGAGCACCCAGTATCATTCTCTCCCTTCGAGTAAGCACATCATGTCCGACCTCGAGTAGCAAGTCCGTCAGACCCAGCAACTCCGTTTGCGAGACGCCGACAGACCCATTCACCATTCTTTCCGGCGAGACCTTCCCCTCCAAGAGGCCTTGCCATCAACAGCCATCAGCCTCCGTCAGATCTCAAACCGTCGCGCAGCAGCCGATCGTGAGGAGCCTCTGTCCATGGCCAGTCCATTTGATTTTTCAAGCGAGCTTGTAGATTCTCGAAGGAAGGTATATCGTTGAACCTCCTCGTTAATTTTGCTCGTGTCAAAATCGTGCAATCATTGTCGTGCGATGTACCTTCCTTCGGGATTCCCGAAGGAAGGTATATCGTTGAATCGTTTCTCGACGGAGTATTTATCGGTTCATTCATTGAACTGTGAGTTTTATCGTGGGATTTTGGAACTCTCGTTGGCATTATTGTTGTGTTTAAAATCGTGAAATAGTCGAGCCTCAATTTGTGGATTTTTGTGAACCATCGTTGTTTTTGCCCTTCGTTTATTTCCGAGCCTTATTGTCGTTTCGTTTTTCCTAGCCAAACCGGTTTTTTTTATAAAATTTAGAAACAATGGAAAATCGGTTTTATTTTTGAAATTTTCGAAAAAAAAATCGAGCCTTTGTCGGGAGCAAAATCATCGTCAAAATCTGTCACCGGAAATTTTTCGCAGTGCAGTGTTCTGCAGTCTGTCCATTTTCTTTTGTTTCTATTCTCCCGCGACCCAAATCCATTCCAACAGTATAGGCCGCTCTTTTCTTTTGCCAAGAGCCCAGGAGATTATTTCGCAACCCAATTCGCCCCGCCCAGGAGGTTTTGGAGCGGCCCATCAGATTTGCGCGAGCGGCCCATTTGCAAGGAAGAAGAACGCGCGGGCCGTGTGCAGCCCGCATACAGCCCGTGTTTTGGCCTGCGAGCCCGCTCTCCGGCCCGATAAGGCCCGCGCTCTTTCCCAACCTGGGGCAGGCCTCTTGTGGCCCATTTTTCTTGCGAGCATGCGGCCCAAATCGTGCGCGAGGCCTAAATGCATGGTAGCCTTTGGCCAGTGTTTGGACAGGCGGCCCAGTTCAACTTTTTGGTCCATTTTGTGTACCGGGAGCTTGTTTTCCGTGTCGACCCCATTTTTTTAAAATTTTTAATAAAATGGGAGAAATCCGGGAAAAATTATTTTTTAAGTCTCGTGACCCGTTTTCTTTACCCGAGTCTTTTTTTTAAAAAAATTGAGAGTAATAAGTCCACGAAAAATCCGATAAAATCCCTCAATCATTTTTTGTTGATTAAGTGTGATTTTTCTATTATTTCCGAGTACTGAAATAAATTATTGATATATTATCTCGCTTAAATATAGGTTTCTGAGGAGTCGAGCCCTCAACCTACCGAGTCGCTTGTGCTTATCCGACATTCCGAACAGTTGGGTATTTATAAACTTTACTATGCAGTTATTCTTTATAATCACTAGATTTTATAATCGATGTATGCATGTGAACCATGACCCTATCTTAGGATGCGGATTCAACCTATATGGTATCCCCGTCGGTGGATGCGGATTCGACCGTCGACGGTGCCTAATGAGAGGAAGTCTCTGTTATAGCCTAACGAGAGGCCATGTCTTTGGATGCGGATTCGACCATTGACATGTGCTCCTGTTGTTGGATGCAGTTTCGACCTTCAGTTGTTATATAATTGTACATTTGAGCATTATATGAGATGTGATATTTGTTATTTATTCTTGTCCATGTTGCGATTCTACTATTTGTTATTATACTGAATAGATTGCACGGTAATTCCCACGGTGAGCTTTGTTGTTTGCCCACACCCATTATTATATCTTTTTCGGGTTGAGCTGGTGGTGGGGCAAAGGATGTGTACGGGGTAGAGACCGAACGGACAAAAACATTATATTATCCAAAAGCCTGCTCGGGTTCGCGTATGCAAAAACGAGGGAATGAATCGAACGATGAACAGGCGTACCAGGGGTAACGTGTCCGACCAGAGCTAATAATCATCAACATTTGCCCGTACGATATGCATTTAATGCAGCAGGATTCGGTAATCACCCATCTAAGGGTGTTTAACAAGCAGGGCTACGTGTCGCAACCCGGCTGAAGTAACTTTATTGAGATGAGATTAAGTAGTACAATGGCATTAAACGTGGTGTGACTAAATATCAAAAAATATCTTGTAAAGGAAAATAGAAAATAAAATCCAAAAGAAGATTGTAATAAGTCCTCAAATTTTCTATAAAAGGAAGAAGAGGCAACATTAAATACAATGAGTAAATGCTCTCATTAATACCATAAAAGTCATGAATAGAGCTAACATTCGTTCTGAATCCTATATAAAATCCTATTCGTTCAGACCGAACCAAGTATACATTTTAGTATACAGTTCGAATACATTGTTGGTCATATTTTAGACATAACAGGATGAAACGAGTGGGGTCATTTTATTTGATTATTATGAACTATGTTGATTCTGCTTCCGCTTAAACTTGTTTTCAAAACTTATGATTGGTTGTGAACTGATAATTTGGATATTGACTGACTTTGAACTTGGTTTTGAAACTATTGGTGTTTTGATGAATATACGAGATTGTGTTGATGTGTATGATATCTCGTATGTGGAATATGGTGTTTTGATGAATATACGAGATTGTGTTGATGTGTATGATATCTCGTATGTGGAATATAGGTATTGATGTTGGGCAATGAGATCCCAAAGGCTTACAATGATGCTAAGCCGAGTGATATGACTGTAGGAATTGAGTAGCGCCCGATATAAATGTTTTCAAATCAAAAAATAAATTTTAAAAAATTTACTCTGATTTTTAAAAACTCGGGATTTTTCCTCTAAAAATAATGGGACGTTACATGTACTGTCTTAATACAATATTTCATTTTTCATGTCATCCATTGCCTGCATTTTGAGTTTCTTTTTTTTTAAGTTTTTATTTTATTTTATTTTTTTGTACATTAGTGGCTTCTTCAATGAAGACACATTTTAAGCAGTCCTTAGTCAGTCATTTGTTTTTGGAAAAAATAACAACAAAGGCGAAAAAGTTGTAAAAAAAATACAGGTAACTCCAAACCATTTCGGCTTAACATCGTTCACAACAAACAAAGCCATCATTAACTTAATATGTGTTCTAGAAAAACATTAGTCACGTATTCAAGTCCCAGGTAAGGAAGACCAAAATGAATACAGAGAACAGAAAATCCATTTATAATGAAAAATATAAAAATAGACATTTTCGGAGAGAAACATCAATGTTAGAATCAGGGCCGGCACTTGGGGAAGCAACCTAGACCCATGCCTAGGGCCTCCATTTATTTGGAGCCTCATTGTTTTTTAAATATTATGTATTTTTATTGGGTTTTATCTAGGAAAATTTTCATTTATCCTACTAGATTTTAAAAATATTGTAGAAATAAAATCCATAAACAAATAATTACGTCTCTACCTAATAGATAATATATAACTACATTAATGCCTAAATAGGAATCAGTTATACATGGCTAAAAAATTTGTCAACAAAAATAACGCCCCCGACCTATAATTACGCCCATGATTGCTAATTAAATGGGAACATTAAAATAGGAATCCATTATATAAAGAATGAAAATATATCCAAAACATAATCCCGGATTAGTATATGTTGAGTTTATATTTAGTATAAAACAAAGGACAGTATATTGAGTTTAAATTTAACCTTCTTCCTAAAACAAAGGACACTGTTAAATTTCATCGTCGAAGTATATGTTGAGTTTAAAAGTCAATGTAATTTTTAATGTCTTGAATTGACAGTATATATTGAGTTTATATTTAGTATATGTTGCAATAATCTCCTAATATACCAAAAAAACAAAACAACAAATTACTCCTTTGTTAGTTTCGACTTCAATAAAAAATTCTCTTACTATACCACACATAAACTATGATATAGTATGGTATTTTTCGTTGATAAAAAACATTATTTGGTTTCGTATTATTTTTTTTGTTTTTGTCGTTTCTTTAACTGTGTTTTATTGACGGTATATGTATTTTTTTCATAAAAATTGCAGCTACAACGAAGTATATGTTGAGTTCAAAAGTGAGTATAAATTTTCATATCTTGAATGGGCAATATATATTAAGTTTATATTTATTATATATTTGGTATATGATGTACATATATTGTATATACTGATCATTAACTAATTTGTACAATGAAACTATAGTACTAGAGCATGCAAAAGATTCATTATCGCCAAAGATCAAAAACCTTTCGTGCGTAATCCCAAAAACTCACGACCTCAATTGACGTTCACCATTAACGCATGCCATTAAACAAACGGAGAAAAACCTCAACCTTATCGATAAATAAATAAAAAAAAAAGTGCAGCAAAACTATGAATAACAAACAATCTAACACCAACAGACCGCGAAGGTGGAGGAGATTGGGCTGAGAGAGGAAAATCTGGCAGGCGTTGACGCATATGCGTCGGATCTCCACCTCCGAGAGCTTGACCTTTTTTCCCCTTTCCCGTCGAGCAGCCGTCGGATTATGTTGTCCAGTACGACCTTGTCCATCATCCCCTCCATCGTCATCATCTTTAGTGTTTTGTCGGAAGCGTTTGACAGTTTTTTCCGAGTAGAACGTGGTAGTTTAGTCTTGGCCATTGAAGAGTGTTCGGGAAATAGGGCAAAAGAAATGGAGGTTTTTGCAGATAGAGAGATGGTGAACGTGGGCGGTGGTGTTGTTTTAGAGAGAGAGAGAGAGAGATAATTAATTCTTTCGATTTATTTGGTAAGTAAATCTCAGTTATTGTTATGAATGTATTTAATTTGTCCGAAAATTGTTTCATAAAGGTTAAAAGGAATTTGTACCATATCAAGTATATTTGCAATAATTTGTGGTTGTTTAGGTTATTTTATAAATAAAAATAAAAGCGGTACAAAAGTGTTATATAAATTAAATATGTTCGTATGGGGTGCAAATTCCTCTTTTGTCTATTTACACAAATGAAGGGGCTAATGGCTAAATATGGACTTAGCCCATTACACATATGAAGGGGCTAATGGCTAAATATGTACTTTGTGTGGGAATTTGAGGCATTAAATATTTCATTTGTTTTCTTATGATGTTCGATCAGAACAAGTTGTGTCAGTAATATGGTTTTTAATTTCTTCTCCTTGTGGCCCTCGTGACTGCTTGAATGTAATTTATTAAAAATCTTTATACGTCAGAGGTAATTTATCAATTCCAAGGTCTAAAAAAACAAGAAAAATCATTTTTTTAATTATTTAGGGGGCGATTGTATATGGATTGTACAATAAAAAAACTAATCAAAACTCAAATTTAACTAAACTTTAACTCTACTCCAATATCTCCAATATTATTAATATAATTAAATAATATCAACCAATCATTCTTACACATCACATCAACTTTAATTCACTATTCATCCACTCACATAATTTTAACTAACCATCACTTCCAATCATTTTTTCTTACTTTTATATCAAATCAACTTTAATTATTTTATTTTAAATATTATTTTAATATATTCACTAATAATTAATCATACCACATTTTTTCAAACTTAGCTGTAGTTAAGAAAAAACTAGTTTTTTACTAGTTCAATTCATATACAATCACACCCTTATTTATTACATAATCTTGTTTAATTAGATTTTTTTTTATGATTCTATCTGTAAATAGACCTAATTACACGCAAGTTCAAACCGAGAAAATTGAAAAGAAAAAATTTGTATGAACCTCCAAATTTTTAGAGACGGCCCTAATTAAAATATGGTACCACTCAAAGATCTGTAAAATTGCGAAAAATAATGTCGATTAAAATTGAGCAGTGACAAAATTTGACCACAAATCTGACAACCACAGACGGTGATGCATTGTAGAATTTAAGGGGGGTGCATTTTTTCGGCGGTCGTCACCAAACTGCGGTAGCCTCGATGATGTACAACATAGAACAATTTGTTGTTAGGTGGCACATAGAACTTGTGTCAATAGAGTGACTTAACAAGACGTTAGGTGGAGCTAGTATTTTCATAGTTTAGTCTAATAATCCAAAATTCTGCAATTGTTCATTGCTACACCTAATTGGGAGTTGAATAGTCCAAAATTCTACAAATTAGGGTTGTTTAATCTTTTTGTACTGTTGCTACATTGCAGACTTGTCAAATCTTGGCATCCCGCTCAAGACTCAATATTCACGTGAATCCACGATTGAGGAGCTTCCGATCGTGAGTCGTTAATCTGTCAGGCACTAATCGCTTCCAACAAACGCATAACAAAGGGTAAATAATAGGTGTAATCTTGTCTTTTTTTTTTTTCTCCAAAACTATAGATAATAGGTGTAATCTTGTCGACAGCCTAACAAATGTGTCCCTAATGTATGTTTGCAGCCGCGTGCTCGGTGATCGCCTCTACACTTTTATTATTTTGGATATCATAATATAACTAAGGGTAAGTTCTCCTAAAGTTCCTAAGTGACTTTTCATTTTTCTCCTCAGTCCTCATACCTTTATTTCTTCATTTCAACTCCCTAATTCCTTAATTTTCTTCTTCCTAACTCCCTAATGTTAAAATTAAATCAAAATTAAAATGTTTTATTACATCATCCCACTACCATATTATTTTATTTGTTTTCTCTTTCATCAACCACAACACATAATAGTATTTTATTACTTTTAATCAATCTTCTTCTACACCCTTTCTCCCTCCCTCCCGTCACTCTCCCGTCTTCCTCCATTTCCGGCGACTGCTTCCATTTTTTTTTTTTTTCAGGTCGGTCTCTCCGGCGACCCAAATCCGGCGTGAAGAACTCCGGCAACAACAAATCCGGCCAAAGAAGTGATTCCGACGTCAAATTTGTTCGGCCAAGAATTCATTTTTTCCGGCAACATTCGTGCTTTTTCCGGCCAAAATTTGAAGTAGCAAGTAATATATGTATTATATGAGCATTTTGGAGTCCAAAAATCATGTTTAATTCGTATATATTTGGTTAATTTGTTTGGGATGAATTTTGAAAATTGTTGTTCATATTAACCTTAAATCAATTAAATTGATCAAAATCTCTTATTTCTTGTTTATGTATACGAAATTGATGCTATTGTTAAGTTGTGTAATGTGTTATTCACCCTAAAACAAGAAAATAAGGTGAGAATGATTACTGTACCACTATTCTTGAATATTGTACCTCTGTTTGCATGTATATAGTACCACTTTAATACTGTTTTGTACCATATTTTCCTGGAAAATGTGAAGTTTTTTTTATTTATCCAAATATTGTTAGATACATGGAAGGGGCACAAAGTGATATACTAGGGAGTTGTACGTACAAGAATGAATTGTTTATGTTCTCTATGCACATTGGAGTCCAAAAATCATATTTAATTCGTATATATTTGGTTAATTTGTTAGGGATTGAATTTTGAAAATTATTGTTCATATTAACTCTAAATCTATTAAATTGATCAAAATCTTTTATTTCTTGTTTATGTATACGAAATAGATGCTATTGTTAAGTTATGTAATGTGTTATTCACCCCAAAACAAGAAAATAATGTGGGAATGATCACTGTATCACTATTCTTGATTATTGTACCTCTGTTTGCATGTATATAGTACCACTTTAATACTTTTTTGTACCATATTTTCTTGGGAAATGTGAATTTTTTTTTTTATTTATTCAAATATTGTTAGATACATGGAAGGGGCACAAAGTGATATACTAGGGAGTTGTATGTACAAGAATGAATTGTTTATGTTCTCTATGCACATTGGAGTCTAAAAATCATGTTTAATTCGTATATATTTGGTTAATTTGTTAGAGATTGAATTTTGAAAATTGTTGTTCATATTAACCCTAAATCAATTAAATTGATCAAAATCTCTTATTTCTTGTTTATGTATACGAAATGGATGCTCTTGTTAAGTTGTGTAATGTGTTATTCACCCTAAAACAAGAAAATAAGGTGGGAATGATCACTGTACCACTATTCTTGATTATTGTACCTCTATTTGCATGTATATAGTACCACTTTAATACTTTTTTGTACCATATTTTTCTGGGAAATGTGAATTTTTTTTTTATTTACAAATATTGTTAGATACATGGAAGGGACACAAAGTGATATACTAGGGAGTTATACGTACAACAACGAATTGTTTGTGTTCTCTATGCACATTGGATCAACGGTTGACGAAGTGTACACTCTCATATCAAAGAGGTGGCCGAACGTTAATTTCGAATCCGTCGTGCTATGCTATATTGCGCCAAAGGAAAAAAAGAGCGTTAGTTTGTTGGATGATGAAGATGTGAAGAACATGTTCGGTTACATGTTTGTTGGAAAATAAATATTGTCGAGATAATTGTCATTTAAAGAAATGAAAGATCGGATGATGGATTTCAATCGATCCCGATGAACGTGAGCAGGTAATGTTGCTTTCATAATATTAATGAATTTATTATTGAAATATAGTATACTCGTATCATATATTAGTTCATTAATTTTTTAACTAGTACCATTATTTATAAATTTTTGTATTATTTTGTCATGAACGCATGGAAAACATACAGTCTAATGATTTCTCGGAGGAAGAAGATGAGTTGTTGCAAGATAAATCGATCGATTCTTGGAGATCTTGCATCAAAGGAGAGGGGCAGATATTCAGTGGGACCGACGAATTTCGAAAGAGTGTCAACAACTACGCGATTGCAAACAAGCGGTTTTAAGTATCGAAAAAATGACAAGCAGAAGGTCATCGTTTGTTGTATCAATGTGGATTGTGAATGGAGAGTATATGCGTCGTTATACAAAGGGGATCAGCAGTTTGCCATCCGGAAATGCAATCTCGTCCATGCTTGTGTACTCATTTTCATTCCAAAGAGTGGGTAGTAAATGACACTTTATGAGTAATATTTTTTTTACAATATACTGGCATTTTATTCTGCAATATAGGTAATAGTTTTGTGATGTTTTAATCGGTGTATTACCTTTTCATTCCAGAAAGCTGGTACTAGTTGATCAATAACAGGTACTTCATAGAAGAAAAAACGGTATTATATCCGTCAAAACTGGTACCGGTCAATGAGTTGAAGTGTATTAAGTAGTGTTTTTCCATTAATGTGTTGAGTTCGTGACAAATTTGCGATTAAACTTAATTAACCAAATATCAAATATCATAGAAACTAATGTCAGAGTGATTATGGGTCGTATAAACATCATTTGCGACCGAAATTCGGTCTTCTTATGTGTTAATTACAAGTGGTACTAGGGACATGATATCTGGTACTATCACGCCATAAAGTGATACTGCATTACACTATGACTGGTACTACTTTTTGTAAATGTTGAGCAGAATTGGAATAATCAATTTTTCTTCACAAAAGTTGGTACTAGTCGATCAATAACAGGTACTACGTAGAAGAAAATGAGGTACTATTTCCGTAGAAAATGGTACCATTCAATGAGTTGAATTGTATTAAGGTGTTTTTCCATTAGTGTGTTGAGTTCGTGACCAATTTGCGATTAAACTTAATTAACCAAATATCAAATCTCTTATAAACTAATGTCAGAGTGATTATGGGTCGTATAAACAACATTTGCGACCGAAATGTGGTACTAGGGATAGAATATCTAGTACTAGATCGCCATAATGTGGTACTGCCTTACACTATGACTGGTACTACGTTTTATAAATGTTGAGCAGAATTAAAATAATCAATTTTTCTTTACAAAAGTTAGTACTAATCGATCAAAATCAGGTACCGCGCAGAATAAGATGCGGTACTATGTTTCCCACAACCGGTACTATTATCAAAATCGCGATTTCTCTAATCCTTCATGTCTACCATGACACGTGGATCGCTCACACGTGATTTGGATGAAAAAAAGTTGAATTGGAAACATATAGTTAGAATTTAGAGTAGTCATGTATGATGATTTCTATGAGATGAAGTGTGTCATTCAGTTAAATGAGGCCTAGTAGAAGTGTTTTCTCATTAGTGTATCGAGTTCATGACCAATTTGCGATTAAACTCAATCAAAAACATTTAAAATCTTATATAAACTAATGTCAGAGTGATCATGGGTCGTATAAACATCATTTGCGACCAAAATTCGGTTTTCTTATGTGTTCATTACGAGTGGTACTAGGAACAGGATATCTGGTACTAACTCTCCATAATGTGGTACTGACTTACACTATGACTGGTACTACTTTTTGTAAATGTTGAGCAGAATTGAAATAATCAATTTTTCTTCAAAAAAGTAGGTGTTATTCGATCGAAATCAGGTACCACGCAGAATAAGATGCGGTACTATGTTTCCAAAAACTGGTACTATTATCAGAATCGCTCTTTCTCTAATCCTTCATGTCTACCATGACACGTGGATCGCTCGCACGTGATTTGGATGAAAAAAAGTGGAATTGAAAACATATAGGTAGAATTTGAAGTAGTCATGTATGATGATTTCTATGCGATGAAGTGTGTCATTCAATGAAATGAAGTCTAGTAGTAGTGTTTTCTCATTAGTGTATCGAGTTCATGACCAATTTGCGATTAAACTCAATCAAAAGCATTTAAAATCTTATATAAACTAATGTCAGAGTGATCATGGGTCGTATAAACATCATTTGCGACCGAAATTCGGTCTTCTTATGTGTTCATTACAAGTAGTACTAGGGACAAGATATATGGTACTTACTCTCCATAATGTGGTACTGACTTACACTATGACTGGTACTACTTTTTGTAAATGTCGAGCAGAATTGAAATAATCAATTTTTCTTCAAAAAAGTAGGTGATATTCGATCGAAATCAGGTACCACGCAGAATAAGATGCGGTACTATGTTTCCAAAAATTGGTACTATTATCAAAATCGCGATTTCTCTAATCCTTCATGTCTACCATGACACGTGGATCGTTCCCACGTGATTTGGATGAAAAAAAAATGGAATTGAAAAAATATAGGTAGAATTTGAAGTAATCATGTATGATGATTTATATGAGATGAAGTGTGTCGTTCAATGAAATGAAGTGTAGTAGTAGTGTTTTCTCATTAGTGTATCAAGTTCATGACCAATTTGCGATTAAACTCAATCAAAAGCATTTAAAATCTTATATAAACTAATGTCAGAGTGATCATGGGTCGTATAAACATCATTTGCGACCGAAATTCGGTCTTCTTATGTATTCATTACAAGTGGTACTAGGGACAGGATATCTGGTACTTACTTTCCATAATGTGGTACTGACTTACACTATGACTGGTACTACTTTTTGTAAAGGTTGAGCAGAATTAAAATTATCAACTTTTCTTCAAAAAAGTAGGTACTATTTGATCGCATCAGGTACCACGCAGAATAAGATGCGGTACTATGTTGCCCAAAACCGGTACTAATATCAGAATCGCGATTTCTCTAATCCTTGATGTCTACCATGACACCTGGATCTTTCACGCGTGATTTGGATGAAAATAGTGGAAGTTAAAACATATAGATAGAATTTGAAGTAGTCATGTATGATGATTCCATGAGATGAAGTGTGTCATTCAATGAAATGAAGTGTATTTGTAGTGATTTCTCATTAGTGCGTTGAGTTTATGACCAATTTGCAAATAAACTTAATTAAACACGTTATAAATCTCATAGAAAATAATGTGAGAGTGATTATTGGTCATATAAACATCATTTGAGACCGAACTTTGGTGTTTTATTATGTTCGTCGGAGCTGGTACTAAAGACCCGATATCTGGTACTAAAACACCGAAAGCTGGTACTATCTTACTCTAGGTCTGGTACCAATTATTGCAAATATTGACCACAATTGAATAATCCATTTTTGCTGACCAAAAGTTAGTACTGATTCATCAATAACTGGTATTGCAAAGAAGAAAACGTGGTATTATTTGCGTCAAAACAGGTACTATTTTACAAAAATCAGTTTTTTTTTTTACGTTCGTCGGAGTTGGTACTGAAGACCCGATATCAGGTATTAGAACACCATAATTGCGGTATTATCTTACTCTAGGTCTTGTACTAATATTGAAAATGTTGACCAAATTGGAAGTAATCCATTTTTTGTTCTTTCTACAAAGTAAGTACTAATTCATCAATAGCTGGTACTACATAGAAGAAGGTGTGGTATTATTTGTTGAAAAACTTTTGCTATTGAATTCGTGATTTGTACATAACGAGATCCTCACAGAGCCCAACACTGGATAGAATAAAAGGTGATATTAATTGTTGTAAAACTGGTACTGTTTTACAAAATCGTTTTTTTTTCTTTTTTTTTTATGTTCGCCGAAGTTGGTACTGTATACCCGATGTATGGTACTAGAACACCATAATATCGGTACTATCTTACTCTAAGTCTGCTACTAATTTTGCAAAATGTTGACCAAAATTGAAGTAATCCATTTTTGTACTTTCTGCAAAGCAAGTATTTATTCATAAAAAACTGGTACTGCATAGAAGAAGATGTGATACTATTATTGGTAAAACTGGTACTATTAAACATGTATCATTAAGAACTTTCACATCTTTTTTCCTTTCTACAAAGTAGGTACTCAACACTTAAAAAATGAGTAATAATAGAAAAATATATGAAAGGGCTACTCTAACTTTTGTGCAGCATTCTGCCTCAACATAATATCAAGAACTCTCACAGTCTCTTAAAAATGTTTGGTCTCATGGCCACTAAGAGCGTTTGCTATTGCAGACATTGGGATTTTGGCATCAAAGTTAGTGGCCACTTTGTATGTTTTGGTATGAGGCCGCCTTCTTGATCTCTTACGATCACTTTCACTTGGGCTACCATCAGCTTCCGGACTACGATTCCCAGTACCCCTACAATCAAGTGTTTCGAAATATAAAGCAGAGACACAAAAAATTAACCAAAAGAAACTACTTAAAAGTAGAAATTACTATTTAGCTGCTCGATGACACTTCGGACATGACCACAGTAAATTCGAGCTTGTTGTGAGGCAGAGGACCCACACTGAACAATCTTTTCTCACCATCGTATGCGAATCTTTTGCCGGCAAGCTCGGTTTTGTAGATCTCGTAGACCTGGCCGAGGATCTTTCGCCCGACTCCTTTTGCATCGACAGGGGTATCATCTTCGTATTAGATTGTGACCTACACCACAAAGAATTAAAAGAACAAAAAAAGAAAAAAAAAAAAAAGACACATAACCATCAGTTTAAACACTATTGGATTTACATACATTGTTAATGATTCAAGACTCTATTTCAACAAACATTCAAATAATAGTGAGAAGACTATACATACACTGTAATGGAAAAGGAACCATCGGTTTTTGATACGGAGTCTTTAAAGTGGTTTGTCAAGAGTGATATGTTTTGTCCTCTCGAACCCAATCCCCGCCTGGCCATAGGAAGACGTTTACTACTTCTGCCGAATTTTTTCGACACACCTTTTGGAGGTATTTGTTGTGGTGGTGATAGTGTTTCCGGTTTTCGATTGTCCATTTTTTCTTGAAACACAATGAAGATAACATTAGAAACTCTTATGCATAAACACATACTCAAATGGAAGGCAAAATTAACACACAAATTTCCAGCAGGGATATCAAATCACTTTTTTACTAGCAATAGTTCATCAACATATATCCTCAGGCATAAATCTTGAAGTTGATTACTGTACAAGCATACAAGAACACAAAACCACATTGCTACATAAATTATAATTATCAATCCAATAGGCAGTATGCAAGTTGCAGTATTAACAAGCCCACTTCAATTTGAAAAAAAAAAGAAAAGAGTGAGTGAAGTTGAATCTGCTCATGATATAGAGGCAATATTCTCCAAACAAACAATTGCCCACTCAAATTCAAATAAAATAATAACAACAACAATTGATTAAGAAAAAACATACCAAAATCAATAAAACTCAAATAAATCAATAAAACCCTAGACATGCAAATAGCCCCAATTCATCAATAAAATTCGTAATTGGTGAAATAAAACTCAAATTTGAAGTGCATTAGCATCAACCAAATACCAAATTTTGAAAAATCTCGAATTCAATAAAAAAATCAAAATTTTGAAAAAAATTCCCAAATTCTGAATTGAAGAAAAAAAATCAAAATTGTTGAAAAAAATCCCCAAATCTTACCTTGCTTACTGTGGAAGACAGTTTGTCGGATGTGGAACGACGAGGAGGACGGTTTTTCGAGCCCTCCATTGTTTTGGCGAGGAGGATGTGGAGCTGAACGAAGAGGAGGGCAACTTCCCGGAGATATGGCCGGCGACGGGAGAGGGACTGAACGAAGAGACGAACGGAATTTTCAGAGGGAGAGACGATCGGCGGAATTTGCAGAGAGGTGGTGATTTTGAGAGAGAGATACGCAGAGAGAAGACGACAAAGAGAGAGAGAGAGAGAGAGAGAGAGAGAGAGAGAGAGAGAGAGGGGTTAAAGAAATGAAATTGAATTTTCAATAAAATGGAGTAAAATAAATGAATAATAATAATAATATAGGTATATATATGGGGAGTTGAGAGGAAAGAGACATTTGTATTAGGGAGTGGAGAGGAAAAATAAAAGTAGTGGGGACTGACAAGGAAAGAGAATTGAGGATTGGGGATTTATAAGGAATTTACAATATAACTAATGTATACTTATACGGTATGATGTTTCGATAAAAAAATATTGTTGAAATAATTTTTAGCTGTTAAACTTTACTTTAATGAAAAGTGCCTTTTAACTAAACTATGTACATAATTTATAAATCCATAGTATAATAAAATGAAATTTGATATTAGTTAACGTTATTATTTTTTCTATTTGATTTATTATTATGTTCAAATTAAGGCTGAGCATGGGACTCGGAGAATTCTGAACCGTTCCAAAAACCGAACCGAAATCACTCCGAACCGAAAAATCTCCGTTGTCCGTTTGACTTTCTCCGAACCGAACCGAAAAAATAATTGGTACGGTTCTGGAGATTTGATCATAAATACCCGTACTGAGAACCGAACCGGACCATCCCGTACCGTACCGAACCGAAGAACTGAAATTAAGAATCGAATTATAAAAATATATGCGTGTTATTAATATATTTTATGTCAACTTTGATCCTATATAATTTGAGAATTGTTAAAATGCAAATAAAACATAGTAATAACAATTAAGATTCACTTACATTTCATGTTTAATAATATTTGATCTACAATTGAATTTCTTATGTTTAAAAAAAAATAGAATGAAAGGTTAAATATTTTAAAAATATATATATATATATATATAAGAATGAAAGGTTAAAGATTTTTATATATATATATATATAAGCTTTACTTAAAGTTGTCGATACTTAGTCTTAGTTTATCTTATAACTAACATGGTATGAAAGGTTAAATAAATATTACTTTAATATAAACTGTATTATATTTTGTTTGAGTTTAAAATTTTCAATGTTAGTTGAATTTAGTTTTAACTAAAATTTAGGGTTACTTCTAAAGTTGATTTAAAAATAAAATCTTTAGTATGATGAAGTATTGATACATGTTGGATTTAAAAAAAACATATAAAAAATAAAATATAACTAGGTGGTCTTTCAAGAAAATTTAAAAAATGATAAGAAATCTCCAAATATTCGTACCAAACCAAACCGAACCGAACCGTTCCGATAGCCCCGAAAACCGAACCGAAAAATAAAAATCTCCGAACCGGACCGAACCAATTTTTTGGTACGGTTCTGGAGATCGATTTTAGTGATCTCCGAAATTCGGTACGGTTCTGGAGATTTATCAATCTCCGAACCGTACCGACCCATGCTCACCCCTAGTTCAAATATTTTAACTCTAGCAATTGAATCAAAATATGAATAAAAATAATGAAATTAACATAATAATATGTTTTTTATATTTTATTATTTGCTATTATATCCACAAATATATGTGAAAAAATACATTTTTTATTTTCTTTCATATTATATAATGTGTTTTTCCTATTATTTGTCCTGCTTGATACTTTATTTTTTAGAAAAACACATTTGAGTACTTTTGTATGCCATGTTTTTTTTCATGCAAACTTTATATAATTATATTATATCAGCTTTGTTTATTATGATGTGTAGTAATGTAATTAAAATATAAAAATCATATACATTTAGAATTGTAATAAATTTATATTATAATAATTTATACTTAATCTGTATGATGTGAAATGGAAGATAGTACTTCCCTTATTCTTTTATTTGTTTCACGTACTATTTAAAAATATAATTTAATTCAATTCAATCTTATCGAAACGTTTTGCATCTCCTTTATTAATAAGTTAATAATTTCTTTATCTATTTAAATCTATTTTGTGTTTGTTTTATTGTTGAAAGAGTTCCTTTCGTTGGAATCCTATTTTATTGAAGTAATTGTGATTATAATTCATTAAGATACGTAATAATTATTACAATTTTTTGTATAATTCAATGAGATAGTTAATGGTTATTACAATTTTGCCATCAAAAATAATATAAACATACGGACTTTAGTCCGTGTAACTTTTTACAAAATCATTCATCCTTTTATAATAGAATGGATATAGATAGATACAGATAGATAGATAGATAGATTTAGATAGGTAGATAGAGATAGATATAGAATATTTAATAATATATATATATATATAATTACTAGCCCAAAACATTAAAGAAAACCTATTTAATTTTACCTAGCTGGCACTTTTTTCATTTCCCGCCCATTTCAGTTACATTTTATTTATTTTTCGTTTTTTATTTTCTTCTTTGTAATGGAAAGCTCAATTTGTGGGATGAATAAATGTGTAAAATAGGAAACAAATTTAATCTGCCATTACTATGAGTTATTGAAAATGTTCCCATTTTTTTTTTTTTTGAACATTTTATTAGGCGGCACAAAAATCAATAATCAATTTTTTAATCTCATCCCAATTATAATTAAATCATATATTTTGGTTTCCATAGTAAATTTAAATAAATTGATGAACAAATAAAAAATAAAATATCCCAAAATACAACAAACCATAAACAAAAATTATAAATAATAAAAAAAACAGAAGCTCCTTTAGGTTTGCAATTCCTGCAATCAAGAAAAAAAATAAATATCAACATTTAGTATGCCAAAAACATATTAATTATAATTATCAAATTTAAATACTTTTAGATAAATACATTTCCAAACACAGTTAGGCGGGAAAATGAAATTGAAACAATTGGTATTTTTGGTATACAAATCAGAAAAATAACTCTAATAATTAAAAAGTAAATGTGGTATAACAATCTGAAAAAATAAATGTCCTACAAATTTGTTGCAGTCAAAGAAAATCATAATGTAGACTTAATTATTAAAATATAATATCCATGATTATAGCACACTTTTACTTGCCAATTAATTTTAAATAACACAAAGTTTGAGGCGGGATAATGAACTTGAAAAAATTGAATTATTTTTGGTATACTAATCTGACAAATAACTGTAATAATTAAAAAGTAAATGTGGATACTAATCTGATTTATAAAAATCCTATAAATTATTGGCAGTCAACATATATTTATATTCATTACCATTTTTTCAATCAACCAAATTTATTTATTTCTATTGATTGCCTCTATTAAAAATTTCCTATATAAATAGTCAGCTGAATTTCACTAACACTCATTCCATTCACTACTAATCTAGCTGCCGAGCAAAAAGTCCCTCATTACAGCAAAACTTTTTTTCCAACAAAAATCATCATGAATCAGTTTGATAATTTGACTTATTTAGCAAAAAACAAAAAAATGACAGCAAAACTCAGATTGGTCCGAACTTATCCCAAGTTCTACAAATCGAGCCGAAAAAGCATAAGAGAGATCGATTTCATTTTTCATGATGCTAAGGTGTTACTAATTTTTTTGGACGTTGTATTATTTATTTATTTTTTAAATGTGTCATTGATATTTTGCTAATACTATATTTTTTCTTTTTTTAGGGGCAGCGGATTCATGGTTCTGCACCCGGTTTCTTGGCAAAAAAATTCAAAGATTTCAAACTTCTTGAAGGACAAGTGTACGGGATTAGTGGTTGGGAACTTACGGAGGACACAAATGCATTCAAACTAACGGAATCAAGCCACAAGTTTGA